AGTGAGTTCCAGGACAGCCAGGACTACACAGAGAAACCCTGTCTCAAAAAACAGAAAACAAACAAAAAAAAGAAACCTCCCCCCCCCCAAAAAAAATAAATACATACCTAGGTCAAAAGCTGTGGCTCATTCCCTGATTAACTTGTAACTTATTTAATCCATTTAAACTATTCTATGTCTACCAGGTGGTTAGTTACCTCTCTTCAGTCCTGGCCTGCTTTTTCTTCCAGTCTCCTCAGTATCCCCCTCAAATCTCTTGAATATCTTTGTGTCTCCTTTTATTCTCTAGTTTTTTTTTTTCAGAATCTTCTCTCTTCCTGCCAGTATCCCACCTAGTATTTTCTGTCTCAGCTCATTGTTTTTTTTTTTTTTTTTTTTTTTTTTTTTATTGACAGGTGATTCTTATAAGAGAGTCCCTCTACACTGAACTTCCTCCTGGCCAGGGCAGGAGGTGGGACAGGGAGAGCATCCAAGAGAAAGCATAAGAAAACTGCTTGAGCAGAGAAAGCCATAAAATGGAAGTATCTCTGAGATTCTGGGTGGGAAGCAGCAAGATTAGCTTAGAGGAGTAAAATAGAGCAGTACTGCTCAGTTGTTGTGCCATTAAATCTTGATAAATATAGTAGTCCAGTCTCAATTATTTGGAAGCTAGCTGGGTAAGAGGAAAAGCCACGAACACTATGTTACTGATTTTTTTTATTATATTTCGATATAAGCCTATGTATGGCCAGGCAGTGGTGGCGCACCCCTTTAGTCCCAGCACTTGGGAGGCAGAAGCAGGTGGATCTCTGAGTTTGAGGCCAGCCTGGTCTAGAGTGAGTTCCAGGACAGCCAGGGCTACACAGAGAAACTCTGGGGGGCGGGGGGGAGCCTATGTATGTGTATATGTGTGAGTGTGTATGTACCATGGTATGCATGTGGAGATTAGAGGACAATTTTCAGAAGCTGTTGGTTCAGAGCACCAATCTCAGGTCATTAGGTTTGGCAGCAAGTGCCTTTGCCCACAGTCATCTTGATAGCCCCCTATATCTTTGCTACTGATGGCTCCTAGCATCCTTGAGACAAGGTCTCACTGTGTGTCCCTGACTGGCATCAGCCTGCCTCAGCTTCTGGAGTGCTTGGGTTAAAGGTGTGTGTCATCTCACTCACTATTGTAGCAATTTATGACCTGCAACTCCAGTTTCAGGGAATCTAACATCTTGTCTCTGTAGGCACCAGGCACACATGTGGTACACATACACAAATTCAGGCAAATATTTTATCTTTGCCATATACACAAAATAACAATAATTAAAAAAAATTAAAACAACTAAAGTAGGCCAAGTCTTCGCCATGGGGGCAGAAGAGTGTCAACGAGACAAAACCCTCTTGAAAACTGGTAAAACTTACTACTGGAGAGAAGGAGAGAGAGAGGAGAGAAGGACTTAGTTCTAGAACCATATATGAGTGACTACGACCCTGGAGCATGTGTGAGGCAAATTCATCATACAAAGTAATGGGTTTCTGCTGGTTGTGGTGTGGTTGTGGTGTGTCACATCCTTAATCCCAATACTCAACAGGCAAAGGCAGGCTGATCTCTTTAGTTCAAGGCCAGCCTGGTTTACATAGTGAATTACAGGACAGCTAAGATTACGGAGTGAGTTTCTGAGTCAATTTAAAAAAGAAAAAAGAAAAAGATGGGTTTTAGCAGGACGTTATCATCCAAGCATGCTGTATATTTTGTTCATAGTCATTCTCTCTCCCCCTTGAGTCCCTGTTTCCTCCTCTCCTTTCTTTTACACCAAAGTCCTACTGTCCTGTTATAATATATTCAAACCTAGACTCAGCACAAGAGAAAAAAATATGTTTAAATTTATCTTTTACAAAACACAATAATCTCCAGTGGCATTCATCTTCCTGCAAATGAGGGGATTTCATTCTTTTTTTTGGCTGAATAAAACTCCATTCCCTTTAGCCATTCATCTGTTTGTTGATGGACATTAGGCTAAGTCCAAAACTTAAATACTGTGACTAATGCTACAACAAACGAACACGGATGTGCTGGTCTCTCCCTACAGTGCTGACTCAGACTCCTTTAGAGATCAGGGATGAGCTACATCATACATTATGTATCTTTTCAAAAATATTTATGTTTGTCTGTGTACATGTGCACATGTATGCAGGGCCCTCAGAGGCCAGCAGTGTGTGCCAGATCCTCTGAACTTGGGTTAGAGGCAGCTGTGAGCTCTAGAACTGGTGTCAAAAGTGCCCTCAACTGCTGAGCCATCTCTTCTGTTCCTCATAAGACAGTAATACACAGACACAGACACAGACACACAGACAGACAGACACACACACATACACACATGCACACACAGTGGCACATGCCTTTAATCCTAGAACTCAGGAGGCTAAGGCAGGTAGATTTCCATCTGGTTGTTTCTCAAAAAACAAAAACAAAAAATCAAAAACAGACCAAACAACAACAACAAAATCCTCTACACTGATTTTTTTTTGTTGTTTGTTTTTTTGAGACAGGGTTTCTCTGTGTAGTCCTGGCTGTCCTGGAACTCACTCTGTGGATCAGGCTGGCCTCGAACTCAGAAATCTGCCTGTCTCTGCCAATTTTTTTCCTTTTAAGACAAAGGTTTCTCCCACCCTAATTGCCATGAGCATTCTCTAACTAAACTACAACATTAGGATTTTAAAAAAATAAGGCACAAACAAAAATCAAAAAAAATCAAGCACCAAAACCCATGATTCCTCTACAGCTACAGCTCTGGCTGCCATGAGCATTTTTTCCCAGACCATTTGTCAGTTTTCTTGGTAGTAGTCATTCTATCTTGGATAAGCTACTGAAAAAGGCCTTGCTAGTCTACAGCCCAGCCACCTGGGAGTATCAAGTTATCTCAAATTCATTCTTTTCCTTTCCTCTTTCTTTCTTTCCCTCTTTCCTCGTTTGAGGCAGGGTTTTTCCATGTAGCCCTGGCTGTCCTGGAACTCACTCTGTAGACCAGGTTGTCCTCAACTAGGAGATCCACCTGTTTCTGCGTCCTGAGTATTGAGATCAAAGGTATGCACTACCACTAACTGGTAAAAAACTTCCTCTTTCTTTTAAATTCTCCACACAACAACAATGAACACTGAGAAAAGGGCTTTTTACTTTTGACTTTTTATGACTGGGTGTGGCTGGTCTGTTACTCATTAAATAGGTCCAGGTTTGCCTCAAATCGCATCCTTCTGCTTCTCGAATGCTGGGATTACAAACCTGAGTTAACGTGCCTGGCCACAAAAACGTTTTTATACATTGTATCTTTCTATTTGGATCTGGTTGTTACCCTATACATCTATGTAACAGCTTTCTCCTAGTTTACCTAGTGACCTTTCTTTCTTCCACAATCGTAACCACACATTTTAGTCCACATCTTACCTGAACTGTTACATTTGATACTTTTTTTTTTTTTTTTAGTTTTCGAGACAGGGTTTCTCTGTGTAGCCTTGGCTGTCCTGGAACTCTCTGTAGACCAGGCTGGCCTCGAACTCAGAAATCCACCTGCCTCTGCCTCCCAAATGCTGGGATTAAAGGCGTGCGCCACCACTGCCCGGCCTACATTTGATACTTTTAACAAGTTTCCTTGATACTTTTCTCCCCTCTGCCTCCTCACTGTCCTATTTTCTGCTTCCTTCCCCCATCTCACCCCTCGAATGCCTGCATCCTCCTCTCTAGGCCATTATTCTCACTTATGGCTCCAAGAACTATCCATACGCACACAAGTACACTTTAAACTTTCTTGGTTTGAAACCACACTAATTCATACTTACTTGCCTAAAAGACATCCCGCAGATCTCTCTTAAGACTAAAAATAATGTAACCCAGTTATTCAAATCAGAACATTCATATCTCCTTATCCAACGCATGTTTCCTACCTACACATCACCACCGTCTCTTCCTTAGCTTCATAATTGATCTCTTTTCCTACCCAGTCCCACTCCTCAGGGATTGAACGCCAGGCCTAACCGTGCTAAGGACACATTCTAACACAGTGCTAACATCCTAGCGGTCTTCTTCGCTTAAATTAAGCCCACGTTGGTCTTCATCTCGAGGGCTCAAGTAACCCTCCTGCCTCAGGCTCTAGGCCAGCACTAACATGCTCTGAGCTGGCAAGCTGTGATCTCTCTACAGTACAAATATAATCGTTCACACCTCTGTTTAGCCCCTTCAAAGCCTCTTCAACTGCCCTTAGGATAAAATAAATTTGCAAGGTCTTGCGTCATCGGGTCCCTCCCTATCTCACAGACCTTTGTATTACCTTTTCCTTTAGCCACATCAGGCTGTTGGCAGCTCCAGAACATACTTGAGCCTATCCCACCTCAACCCCCCAATTCAATTCTCAACAGTCCTTCACGAGTCAGCTGAGGCGACTTTCGACAAGAAATGGGAGTTCAAAAGGAAAATGCTGAAGGGATGCATTCCGAGGGAATCTGAGAAGTGCTGCTGTAAGGTCCAGGTTTCAGAACGTCTGGGTGACAGGAAGTTCAAAGCAAAGGTTAAATACAGATCTTGAACTTTCACCTAAGTTCACCGGGCAGTCCGACTCCGGTACTATTCCGCCCTTACATATCATGGCTGCCAGTCCCACTCTCCCAAGGGCCTTAAAGTTCGATACCAACCAGGTCTGGCGCCACCAAGGCTTCCACATTCAAATACGTTATCTCTCCACTTCTTAGAACCTCCCCGACGCCGCCGTTAAGAAAACCCGGCGTTGCCAGCTTGCCCCTAAGCAAGATGGCTGCCAGTCTCCAGTCTCTCTTCCCGACGTGAAGCTATCCACACCCCGCTTAATGCCGCTGCCAGGCTGCCCTCACCTAGTATGGCTACCCCGCTCATGCCTCGTTATGGTCTCGAAGCCGACACTAACCGGCCAGGTTCCGGGAGGCGCTGTGCAGGATGCAGCCACCCCCGCCCGGCCCTCCCCTCCCCCACGCCCGCGGCGGCGGCGGCGGCGGCGGCGGAGGCGGTGGCGGCTGGAGCCCGGATGCCGAGCCGGGAGACAGGCCCGGGAGAGCAGCGCGGATGGATCCAACATGGCGGCGCCGAACCTGAGCCGAGAGTGAGGCGGCGGGGCGGCCGGCGTGGGGAGGGGGAGTCGAGTGGGACGGGGCGGGGCCGGGCGGGGCGGCGAAGGGCTTGGGGAAGGAAAGTGAAGGGGGAGGTGGTGGCGACGTCCAGCCTGAGAACCTCCAGAGAGGGAGGTGACGGGACGCTACGAGGTGGGGGAAGGGAGCCGCCGAGGGGGGCGTGCAGGGGAGATGGCAACTGTGGGAGAGGGCAGGGGTCGGGGCGCAGGAGTGTGAGCATGGGGAGGGGCGTAAACAAGGGCCGGGGCTGGGCCAGGCCAGGGGCATTAAAGAGGCCGAGGTGGGGAGTGGGGCGGCGAGCCAGCGCCTGCGAGGGGTAGGAGCGGGAGGGAGAGGCTGAGGGTGTGGAGGGGAAAGGGGCTTGTGGCATGTGGTTGCAGGGGGGACTGGACTCCCGTGAGCGCTGTTGTGAGGACGTGGGGGGGGGGGTGTTGAATCGGACTTGAGACGTTTGCTGGAGGGAGGTTTTTAAAGTGTTCAAATTGGAAGCGGAAGGGCCTAGGGGAGAATTTGGGTGGAAGAGAAGAGAAGGAGGGCTTGGGGAATGGAGAGAGAGTGGAGATGTGACGAGGTAACGTAGAAAGTGAGAGACCTGGAGGAAAGTTTGGAAGGAAGGGGGATAGGGCAGTGGAGCTGCACGGATGAGAGAGGGTTTGGGGGTTTCCCTTTCCCCTGTGGAAAGGCAGCAGAGTTAAGCAGTATCAGTTGCAGCCAATTTTAATTGCCAGGCGCTTAGCTTTTAATAGGGTGGGAAGAGCAGAAAGGAATGGTCATGTGGGTTTGGAGAATTGGGGTTGAATGAGGGTTCAACCGGATTTGCTTTCCAAAATACTCTCTTGCTTACTGCTTCCTTGTTTTTCCTGATTACAAATAGGGAGATTAGTAAAGCACTTTCCTAGGTTTGTCTGTGTGTTTTTTTTTTCAATTAGCATTACAAGAATGGGGAAAGAGACTTTTCTGGAGCCTTATATACCAAGGTGTAGGCTCTGGAAGCCTGAGGAGAAAGTAGAAGAGACAGACCTGGCATTTAGGTAATCAGGCTAATTAAATATGCTTACCTTTACAGACCCTTCATTTGCTCCTCAAGTTCTAGGAGGGGAGAGGGTGTCCATGTGCATATTTAGAGAAAAAAAAAAAACCGTTCCTACTGGAGTGTAGAAGAGAGTGGGGCTGCCTCAGAAGTCATTTTGTTCTCATTGTGTGCTGAGGGAAAAAGGTGAAGAGTTTGATTCTGGCCTTGTGAGTGACGTGATGAGAAGGAAGAGCTTGCTTTGGCTGTATCTTTTCCCCTTCCAGTTCCCCCTTACCACTCATGTTGTAAGAAACTAGATGGAATAAGGAATTTTGGAAGACGAGATGGTATCAGGGTGATGGTTTATTCCCAGAAGTGGTAGACTTGGGGCCTTTCTTGCTATGAGGCATTGAGACTAGAAATTTTGGGGGCTGATACTATATTGTGAGTTGTGGATCTGAGAAGGGGACTTTGGTATGTTTGAGTTCTCTTTACTTTTGGAATAGTTAAGACAGTGAAATGGCTTTAGGCTTAGATGACTTTTTTTTGGCACTGACACTAACTGTGAACCTTTGAAGTTTCAGAATAAAGCTTGATATTCTGCTCTTTTACTCCCCCTTATTTGTTTTTGTTTTTGTTTTTCTGCTGGCTTTGAAACTTGTGCTAGGAAGAGCCCTGGGAAGTTAAATTTCTTGCAAAGGTAAGTCTGGAACTTTTTCTTGTTTGCACACAATGGGAGGGAATGAAAACGGTATGAGATGCATTGGGACAGAGTCTACTTAACCAGGTAGGTGCTAGGAAAAGGAGTTTGGCTGTCTCATTAAGGTTTGTGCAGTCACTGCTCAGGTAACTAGAGAAAGATAGAAGGAGGGAAAAGAGGGGATATTAAGTGTTCTGAGACTTGCCAGGCGGTGGTGGCGCACGCCTTTAATCCCAGCACTTGGGAGGCAGAGGCAGGCGGATTTCTGAGTTTGAGGCCAGCCTGGTCTACAGAGTGAGTTCCAGGACAGCCAGAACTACACAGAGAAACCCTGTCTCAAAAAACCAAAAAAAAAAAGAAAAGTGTTCTGAGACAAGGCCTCAGCTTTGGTTTGCTATTGTCTAGCTTTCTGGTCAGCTCTGAGTGAAACACGTTTAACATATGGAAGGCTGTGTTCTTGTACATTATCTATGAAATATTTCCCTTTGAGGGTGGCTGAGGTATTTCAGTGAGAAGGCTTTTCTTTTTTCCTAGTTTACTGTCTCTTCCAGCTGTTGAGAGTTCTTGGGATTTCTTGAAAACATACTGTGTAGTTCTGCCCTCCAGACAGACTTGGTTATGGTTTCCTGGTCCCGCCAGCATGAAAGTGCATCATGGGCTCTCAGTTCTCGAGACTGTACAAGTCGTTTTCACTTCAAGGTTCAAGCAGTAGTCCTTTCTGGAAGACAGGTTTGCACTGTGTAGTCCTGGCTAGTCTATAAATTGCTATGTAGACCAGGCTGGCCTCAGACTCACAGAGATCCATCTGCCTTTGCCTTCCAAGTGTGAGGACAAAAGGGATTTGCCAGTACACCTGGCTGTTGTCATTTGAAAAAAAAAAAAGTTCTTTCCCATGATTTTCTGGTAAGAGCTTCTGAGAGAGTCAAATATTTCTTTTCTTTCCTTCTTGTAAAAATATAGATGTTATTCCTGTTAGAAGCAAGACTGCCATTTTTATTCCAAGATAATTCTACACATTCTTTGCTTCAATAAGTCAAAGTACTTTAAAAAGTTAGGATTGTCTTTTCTGGATGGAAGAGTCTAGACTGCTTAGGTACAGAAATGCAATAGAGAGTAACCTATCAAGAAGAAACTGTCTAGGTACATATTGACTCTTACTGGCTCTTATGACTTCAGACCTCACTAAAGGAAACCAAACTACACCTCCAGAAAATTCAGCAATTCACCAGAATCTAGAATTATTCTGTGCTAAGTGGCAGAGCACTTACCTACTGAAACCCAAGGACCCTATGATTGATCCCTAGTTTAAAAAAAAAAAAAAATGCACATGAGTATTTGAACTACAGCAGGGACATCCAGTGGCTCAGTGCTTTTGTTTATAGTTGTGGAGGGGGGTTGTTTTGTTTGTTTGTAGGGTCTCACTGTAGACCAGGTTGGCTTAGAACTCAGAGATCCACCTGCCTCTGCCTCCCAGGTGCTGGGATTTAAAGGCGTGCGCCACCCTTTCTGCTCACTGCTGGTTTTGTCTCTTGGTATTTAGCAGTATTTGAAATGACCAACACATGAGTTCTTTCTAATCTGTTTGGAAGAAGGAGTTCTCTTCAGGGTGGCGTCTTTCATCTAGGAGCTCTGTGTTTAGGCTGGGATCCCGGGCCACTGAAAGCTGAGTATAGTTTGCTTTAAGAGGAAGTCGGTGATGTTCTTTTCATCCTAAAGTTAGATTCTTAGCCACCCTGGCTGGGTTGCTGAGTTAACTCACAATCCTGGATGATAATTAAGTGGGGAGAGCTGCCTCTCCCTGCGTGCCAGCCTCTTGACATTATTCTGGGAGATGTGCCTTGGGAAATGCTTGCTTCTGTGTTTTGCTTCATTGAATAGTATAAGTCTGACTAGTGACCTAACCAGGAAGGGCCTGCTGTCTAGTCTTGTTTGGGACTTTATAAATGGCACTGAGGATCGTTTGTGTTTGTCTTGAAGTTGGCATTTTTCTTATTCCTACAAAACTTCAGATTGAACTGGGTCAGAGTCGACCTGGAATGGACAGGAGGGAGTATGTCTGCCACTTGCTATTCACCTGACTGGCAACGGCAGGTGATGGAGGAGGCACTGCTGGGGTCAGATGATTGTCTTTGTGATAGTTGGATTCATGAGCTGAGAGAGCCTATGTCTGACTGACCCTCGTTTGCTTCTAGAATAAGATTGGATTGTTTTGGGGTGAAGCAACCTCATAGTTTCCTTCACAGATCTAATAAGGAAAGTGACATACAGCCTTTTTTAAGCCTTCATCATGTTTCACTTAAAATAGGATTCCTCAACCTTAACTACTATAGACATTTTGGTCCAGATATCTTTGTTGTTAGTAATTATCCCATGCTTCATATGATGTGTAACAGTATCTTGGCCTTATCATATGCTGGTAGTGAAACTCCCTTTCCACAAATGTTGACAATCAAAACTGTCTCCAGTCATTGCCAAATGTGCCCTGGCAGAGCAGATTGCTCCAGGTGGAGAACCACTGACCTAGAGCTCTGACAATGCCTAGTGCCTTGGATGATCTGGCCTGTCATCTGGGACCTAATGGTGACTTTCTCTCCCTGTCAGAGATTGAGACCTATTGCAGAATTACATTGATTATATAATTAGGACTATAGTGTTTTCCTTTATTTTGCCTCATTTTCTAGGGACAGAGTATGTATATGTGGGGGTGGTTTTTCTTAATTGCTTTGAATTAGGGAAACCAAGCAACAATCTGCTCTTCTGACTGGTTGGATGTGAAACCTGCCCATCTGTTTTCTCTGGGATCCTTATAACCAGCCGCTGGCCAAAGGGCACAGGTTGGGTGGGGATGATGGAAAAGTTGCAGGGACTCAACTGAAGGGAGCTCAGTTTCTCCTGCTGCCTACTTGACTAAGAAGGTATTTCTCCTCAGCAACCCCATTTGTGCCAAGTGACAGCAGGTGAAAGGAGGGGAAGAGACAAGGAAAACCAGTGTTTGAATAATGATTTTCTCAGCTGTTTCCCCATACTTTGGGTGAGGTACCTGGGCTTTAAAAACTACATGTGGATCATATTTATTTTTTACTCTTTCCCTGAACCCAAAGGAGAATTAAAGTCTCTACACTTTCCTTGTTGGCTTCCTATGGGAGGAAAGACCAGGCTCTATTGCTTCTCTGCTAACTCACCAGCATGACTCTTCTGAAGGAGCTTACCATTCTGTTCTTCTTCTCTTTTGGGTTCTACAAATGGAATCCAAGGCCTCTTGAGTGGTGAGCATCGCTCTACCACCATTAATTTCCAAAGCTTTTCATTTTTTGTCTTGTAGTTTAGCCAGTATCTTCACGTGTAAAGTAGTCAGAACACCATCTTGTTAAATAGGGTCTTTTGGTGTCCGTAGTTTTCTGTGGTGTGGAGACAGCTCTGACTAGCGAGAGCTAGTGCATGGTTACTGAGTGTGTTTGTGTGTACACTTCTCACCTGCTCCAATCTGAGACAGGTTTCACTATATAACTCAGACTGGCCTTTCGCTGTCTGCCTCAGCTTTCCTGATTCTGGGATTATAGGCGTGTACGTGCACCACCATTCCTGGTTTACATGTGTCTTTTGAGTGGGGATCTCTCTCACTCTTGGGCTCTGTTAGGTTTGGTTTTCAGCTGGTGTTGCTTGTATTGACCTCCTGGAAATTAAGTTCAGTTCTCAACAACAGGCTGCTGCTATAGCTGTCTACTACTAAGTATTATGATATAAAGTTGACTTTGGTTTAGCACTGCTCCATGAATTTTGCAGGATCTAAATAATTTTACTATACTGATATAAAAGAAATGTTCAGTTTTCCATAAGAGCTCAGAAGATGACCATTTAAGTCAGCCTTGGAGATATAAAGATAGTTTGTGAATTGACTCTTGTTTTGTTTTCCTTTCTAAGGTAGTCTTAGTAGCTGGCCTCAAACTCATTGAGATATGTTTGCCTCTGCTTTTGCATTGTTGGGATAAAAGGTAAGAAGCTACAGTGCCTAGATAAATTGTTGATGTTGTTTGGTTTTTGTGTTTGTTTGTTTGAGACCGGGTTTCTTTGTATAGTCTTGGGTGTTCTAGAACTCTCTCCGTAGACTAGGTTGGCCTTGAACTCACAGAGCTGGGATTAAAGGCATGTGCTACCACCACCCAGAGTGAGGTGGGTCTTCTGAGTTAGTCATCTGAAAGAGAGGGGCTTATAGGGATGTGAAATAGACAGATGAGAAAGGGAAACAGCCTGGAGAAAGTAGAGAGGAGTGAACGAGTTACATAATATATGTAAATTCTAACCAAATGGATAATGTTGGAAAACTAATCGTTAATAAAAGCTGAGAAGGGTGGTAGATGATGAAGATACGCAGGTTTGTTCTGGAAGGCGGGATAAACAGTACTCAGAAGTCTTCTTACAGGTGAAGAGCGGGATTCCTCCTCCCTTGTATCCTCAGCTCCGGTTTTCATTTTAGATGTTAGCAGTTAAATATGGGAGTAGATTTCTGTAGGTAAAGACCGATGGTGACAGGCTAGGTGTGATGGTGATACAGAGCGGGCAGAGCTTTAGGAGTTGGACCCAGCCTAATTTACATAGAGAGTTCCAGGACAGCCAGGGATACATAGAGAAACCTTGTCAAAACACTGCTTCCCCAGAAGTATTGATGGTGGTAGTGCATGCCTGTAATCCTATCATTCAGGAGGCTTAGGTAGGATGATTGAAAGTTCAGTGCCTACTTAGGTTATATAACAAGTTTAAGGCCAGTCTGGGCTTCATTTTGAGATCTTGTGTCAATATGAAAAGTTAAAAGTTTTGGAGAACAGAGACTTCTTGAAAGAGTCATTTTTAGGAGCTGGTGAGATGGCTCAGCAGGCTTAGGCACTTGTTACCAAGCCTGATAACCTGACTTCCATCCCTGGGACCCATTCAGTGGGAAGAAGAGAACTGACCCCTGAAAGATGTCCTCTGACTTCCACATGTGCACTGTGGTACATATACTCACACGAATATATATATA